CTAGTTCTTGATCAACTCTCGGCATGGCTGCATACGGTATCGGTCTGTTCGCCTTGATGACTGGTTTAGTTCCTGGACACAGGCACAGCATTGTCCTGAATTTCCTGCCATGACCAAGGCCATCCTGAAACCTGGAGGCAAGTTTTTGCCTCATGTAATGTCATCTCTTCGATAAACTTCGGTTAAAGGTCTGGGTTTCTTTGTACTCGACTACTTATCTGGTTCAGTGAGACATTGAAATTCTAACCTCGCAATCCGTTCGGTTTCACGCTTGAGCTTTGCCGGTTCGTTGGGTATCAGGTTCCGTTCTTATCTGCGCCGATAAATACGATTTAGCAGGTTATTGCTTCGACCCTATTGCGTACTCCACTGGACGAGTTGCAGGACACTTTTACAGAAGCAACAACATTCGGCTCTTTATGTGGTTTCATATGCTCTTGAAAATGATGATTACATCAGAAGCTGTGTTGAACTGCTGCTTTGATGAACCCCGTTTCCGAGTGCGGTTATAACTCGTCAGCGGCGTTTGAGTTCACTGTGGAAAACAAATACGACTGACAGTGGGTCTTCACCAGTATTCTTAATATCCTTCTTCCAATGGAACTATTGTTATGTCCACCGGTCGGAATTATTTGCAGAATCCTGTCACACAGCCGCGTTTTAGCACATTTGACATGTGGCTATTGAATAGACATAATCTGGCAAAATGCCACTCGCCGCATCACCAACAGATAGTTAGAGGTCTATATTGCTACTTCTATTCGGGTACAATTGTCATATTTCGCTTAACATTTTCTATCGCGTGGATACTTCGCTTTTGTACCGAAGAATCCTCAGCGATGGCAGTGTTTTCGCATTTTGCCTGGATGGACTCACGCATCGTGTCTGAGTCTTGCTCGCTCTTGGCTAAGAACCGTGTGTGTATCTCGGCGTTTTGCGAAGACTATAAAACATCACTGGATATGAGACAATCGATATGGTCAGCCATTCAAGAGTGCAACTTGAGGCGTCCGCACTCATGCTTGACTGTCTGCCAACATCCTATACTCATCTGTATCACGCTTTATACTCTTACTCTCCGATAACGAATACTGATTGCTTACGAATGAGTAGACGGATTTGGGCATGGTTCGGTTTTGTTCATCGCAATTAGATTCCAAGCTGCATAGGTAAGCTACCAATCCGGAAAAGCACCAGACGCACGTTTCGCCCTAATGGGGCTCGTCAGTGGTGCGCATCCATCGGTCCGCTACTGGGGATCGAACCCATGACCGCTAGAGGCTAACGCCAACTAGCCAGCAGTTTATGGCACTGAGCCATGGGGGACGACAGCCTACCATTACGAATTGAAACCTAACTGCGATATAGCCCGCCCCATCCCCTACTACCGTGCAAGTTATTGTCCGTGCAGAGAACAGTGGTTTGCCGTCACGATCAGGTCTTCCCTTGCTAGCGTCGTGAATCCACACAGCCATTTTGAATGCTGGCAGGGCTGAGGTTTTGATTACGAATTCGTAATGGTCGGTTGTCGTCCGCCATGGCTCAGTGGCATAAACTGCTGGCTAGTTGGCCTTAGCCTCTAGCGGTCATGGGTTCGATCCCCAGTAGGGGACCGATGGATGCGCACAACTGACGAGCCCCATTAGGGCGAAACGCGTGTCTGGTGCTTTTCCGGATTGGTAGCTTACCTATGCGGCTTGGAATCTAATTACGATGAACCAAATATCAATTGAGTCACGCAAAGTTTCACTGTGTTTTGACACTTTGTCTTTGCACGTGAAGCCTTTTGCCTATTTTTACAGTTTGTGATCATTGAACATCAGGTGCTTATTTGTGCCAAGTTTGCGAAACAGTAGTCACATTTTCCAGGAGTCATTTTGATGGCTGTAATCCGTCCGGGAGATATCGTCAGCGTTTGAATCATGCATCGAAAGTGCACCTAAATTCAGCTTCATATTTAACTTCGATGGTAGAATTTGGGAATGAATTTGTCTACTTACCACGGTGAATTTATTTTTGAAGACTGCGAACTGAGCCGCAACTCCAGTGTTTCGACCCTCTACATTTATGCATCTTTCTTGGTTCGTTGTTGCCATAACAGCCTTTCGAATTGTTATGCGGAGTAGTTCATTTCCCGACTTTTTCCGTCGCAGCTTTTTAGATCGTTCCTTCTCCGCGATTCCGGTTGAATCGATCTTTTTCCCTGTAAGCTTCAGTCCTAACCAAACTAGTATTCATCGGCTTGACACTAGAGCAAGGTGGAGGAACAACTACTGAATCTACACAATTAGTACGGAAACTGACGCATATTTATAGTTTATTTAAAGTTTACCGCAGCAGCTTTCAAATCAGATAGTCTTGCACATACCCCGAAAACTCCCAGATGGCCGTTTCAACCTGTCGTGTCTCCTCAAGTGCTTGCATCGGCTCCATCAGGATTGGAACCCATGATCACCAGCAGCTTGAACTGCCAACCAGCAGCTTACGTTGCTAAGCCATGGGGAACAACGGTGAACCGTAATGATTTACAAACTGAATGCGATCTGGCGCGTGTTATCATCCATTGCCATGCAAGTTACGAACGTTGCAGAGGACAGAGTTGGCCCCGAAAGACACGACTTCCGCTGATAGTAACTTTGTACGACATGGCTTTTAGAAACTGTTTGGGCGAATATTTTGATACACTCACTGGACAAGTGATCCGGAGCCCAATTAACAGCACCAACATGTTCTTTCATAGCCGAATCACTTATTTACTTTGTATGCTGCCAAGTTATCTGTGGGGTAAGGCTGATTATGTCACTAGACAATGAAAGCTGCAAGTAAACTGTTTCCTCCATACCTGCTTGTCAGCACGCGACAACTGGTTGTTTGTGGTTGTACGCTGTTCGCAAGGTGTAGACTAACTCGGAATGTTCATTCACTTTGATAATTTTTTTACCATCATATTCGTTTCTTATTTCTGTCGCTCTATAACAACGAGTCAACACTTAATGGTGCCCACTGTAGTTTTGCATGTTTACTTTTCCGTTTTATGAAAGAATCCTTAACCGGCATTATGTGGACGTTCTTGGTTATCAGTGGCTGTACGCCTTAACGGCGCTTCGCTGCCACGCGATCACCACCAGTCACGCGCGGACTGAGTATACTGCGAGGACGCTCACCCCTAAGCACATTCAAACCGGTGACCTTATAATTGCAAACCAGGCGCGCAGGCCACTCGGCCAGCGGCCGACGCTAAAGTTGATAAACTTCGGCTGTTCGTATGATCGTATTTAAATCTACTGAATTTTCCGAACAAAGTGCACACTTCAACGCTACACTCCAACTTGCTTCTTATCACAGACTTGTTACAGAAATCGACACTTCCACTCTTGTTCGCAGTGATTACACTACCTGCTACTGTAGAAGCAATAATCCACCAGGTGGCAGGGAGCACGCAACCCTTCCTGATGCCCTGGTATTCCTGTTTGACGTGTTAATTCGTGAGATTTGGTTTTTCAGCTGAATTGATACGGTTCGCCGGTTTGTATTTTCAAACGTGCTGCGTCACAAGAAGCTTAATTTGATGTTGAACACAACCGCCCAGAGGAGATTATCACACTCCTTTTTTCAAGCTCATGTTGATGAGTCTTTTCCTGTCTCACGGCAATCAGTGTTCTATGAGCCAGCCCACATCCCAGAACCGCACGGTTGTGAACTCGTGTTTCTTCACTAACATCCTATCCATAATTACTTTCTCTTGTTCTTATGATTCCTTGTGGGTCCTCGTTTCGAGACTTCATATCTGCTGGCAACCTCGCACTCTCACAGCGCATGCGCAATAGCTGCTGGCTGCTTTGTATCGAAATCGGTGCAAAATACGGTTTACAATCGGCCCTCTATGAACACGGTGTTCACATTGTTTGGGAAGAATGCGCGTTTAGCGCTCGTGTGGTTGCTTCTTGATACCTTGAAGCGTTTTCTGCATCCGGTATTTTACAGGTAGTAACCCTACGTCCGCTGGCCGATGTTAATCTACCGATTCTCTGACTCAGCCCCGTGCCATTTGAAAGTGAATGTCGGCACTTTTTTAAGTCGTGTTCTTCACGTTCCTGCAAACCGCCTACTTGTCCTGTTTTTCGCCATCCCTTCGTCTGTTTGGATGAAGCTCTCAACTTTCCATGTGATAAAATGGCAACAACGCATGGAGCATCCAAGCGGAGTGCTGGGCCGCGTTTATGCTCGCCGAATTTGATGCTTCGTGATCGACTCTGGCTGCTTTGGTATGGTCTGTAAACCAGTGGCGCTTTTTATTCGGATCCTTATTTCCAACCACTAATCTTCCTATCCTAGGAATTAACCATTTTTCTGCCCTTTCCGGATTTATGTTCTTAGGATTTTTTTTCTTGTTTTCGCCGTCGAGTATTTTTATGGCTATTGCGACGTGAATCAACATAGGTGATCCACCGCATTTCGATTTGTAATTGATGCGCTACACCGATCACAGTAGTAGCTAAGGAATCCAAATTGTTTCCGTCAATTAGGTTATCCGCTTTCTCATTTTTAATTTGGTTTGGTCATCTAGTAATCCAAACGCTTTGCAGTTGATGCAGTCCGGGGTCTCCATTTAATCAGTCACCAGTCTTAGGCGGAACAACTATCACCTCCACTCTGCGTGCGTGATTTTTAAGAATATGTCTTCCGAGGGGATGATCACTTCCGCTTTATCACCTCATCAACATCCATTTCCTTTAACTCAGGGAGAGTATATGTGGCTTGAGTCCATACTCATGCGAATTCAATCTATAACATTGTCTAATGCTCGTACGCTGCGGTCATTCTGTCTCGGGTTCACTGTTGCAAACGCAGATGACTTTTTCCTACGTCACTTAGTCATCACCTGCTTTCTAATATTTTTGCTTCTTACGGTAGTCCAGTAGGTTTTCTATGCATTGCACGATCTTCTGAGTCCTTCATAACTATCAAGTGTCTCATTTTGTTCTTTTATTCAACCTTAGGCGGTTTATGCCCGTCATCATCAAGTTCCTATACGGCGTACCGGTGATTGGTTGGATTCTTTGGCTTCCAGGAGTGAATAAAGTGAGTTCTAACATTTTTCACAACGAATGGTGCAAACCATTTATTTAATACTTATTCCTTTACAGAATCATTTTTAGAACTGTAACGGGAACTCGCAACCCGTCTCTCTCACCGTTGGTTGATTTTTAGCCCACTCTGCTACGTACTCAATTTCGCCATTCTACCGTAGCCATACCGATTCCGATGCTCCCGTTTTTTCATCTTACTTTTTAATCCTTGCATGATACCCTTTTCGTTGCTTTGTTGAGAGGTGACTCGGCGAAATGATTTACCAACCCTTCTTACGGGTCTACCGATTTTCCATTGAGACTCCTGTTAGAGTTCTGTGTATGTGTGAAGTACTACACCAAAGTGTCTGTCACACACTGCGGCTTTTGAAACCTGACTAACAATCTGAACGGTTGCGTTAGAAACAAACTGACCCCGTGGTCATTTGAAGCGACTCCAAAACAGCTTCCTTATTCAGTCACTAACAAACGTTCCTATTGTTAATGGTCTTGGTCCACTTTGGGGGGGGGTTTGGAGTGAGCGTAGCTCCTTATTCTTTAAAACGGACTTTTTGCTGCTTCATCTCGCTCTCTCGCAGTCTGGTTTCTGAACCAAAAGCTTTGGTTAAGTATCCTAATTGTTCTCTTTTCTCGGCATTGTCAACTTGACAACATCCTCACACGTATTTGGTGCAGGAAGAGCGAATGAACCGCTCAGCAACATTATAACACGCACCAGACTCCGATGGCTGGGTCACGTGTTGCGCATGCCAGCACACTGACTCACGCGACGTGCATTGTTTGCGCGTTGTGGGTGCGGTTGGAAGAGGAGGAGGGGAGGCCAAGCGATGACTTGGCCGAGAGAAATGAAAGCCCTCACTTCGAAATTGGCGGCGGTTGGTGCATCCCGACTGCCTAACTGAAGTCCTAAGGACGATGAACACGTATGTTTGGACACACTTGCTGATATGGCTAGGAGCCGGCCCCAGTGGCGTTTGTGTTGTTAGTTCTTTTGTCCATCCTTCTACTTAGCGTCCCCCTCCAATGACGATCTCGTTCGTTCGGCATGATATACCTCTTTTTACGGCACGATAGCCGGCTGTTAACTCTTCGGAACGATGTCTATCCGTTCCTGGGGACTCAGCCGGCGTGCCACTGTTGTTTTCCTTCTTTTGTATTGCGGCACAATAGCTGAGGTGTTTTCTACCTGCAGCTAACGTGTATAATGAATGAATGATCCATTGGAAACTGTACACCCAATTTCTTGATGCTCTGGCCATCCGAGAGCTTAACCAGCGGTGCCCTAACTGCTGCATCTGGCAGGGTGGATAGAAGCGCCAGTGTTACTGCTCACCTACCCGTCTTCCTACTCCCCTTCTTTATGGTTTTTCGTCCTCACCGTTCCGTGCTAGTTTCACTTTTATCCTCTTTATTTCAAATCCACCAGTTCTTGTCCTTACCCCACCTTACTTTGACAGGCGTATGTTTTGACTCACACGCCATCACGGATCGTCACTTCTGCCCTGGTGACAATTTCATGTTCAACTATGTGGGCAATCTCAGTCCATCGGCTTCTATCTGACGCCCTCTATCCCCGCTAACACTAACATACAAGGGGTGTTCAAAAAGAAACCCAACTTCTACTATAACATCTTATTGCTCGTTACACATTTCACGCACTTTCCCCCTCAAAGTAGCCCCCCCCCTACTGACAATACACCGTTCCCAACTGTGCTTCCATTTTTGGAAAGCCTCTTGGGACGCACTTTCTGTGATGGCGCGCAAGTCTCTTGTCGCACTGTTCTGAATCTCCTCTATGGTTTGTAAACGACATCCTTACAATGGGGTTTTAAGTTTGGTAAACAGGAAAAAGTCTGCAGGTTCAGGTCCAGAAGATACGGTGGATAAGACACGACGGGAGTGTGATGCTTTGCTACATTGCTGCGGACAGTGAGCGATACGTGAGCCGGCACATTGTCATGATGCAACATCCAAGTCTGATTTGCCCACAATTCAGGCCTCTTCTTACGCCCATCATCCCTCACATGTGCTAGGATTTGATGGCATGATCCTACGCTGATGTCCACTTCGTCAGCAACTTCTCGAACACGTAACCGACGATTTCCATGGATCTCAGCCCGAACTCTCGACATGGTCATCGTTTGTTGATGTGTAAAGTCACCCAGGCCTAGGATCGTCACCTACCGACATTCTGCCTATAGCACAGCGTGCGACTGATACAGTCCTCTCCGTATGCTTGGCTAAACAATTGAAATCTCTCTGTAAAACTTTTGCCAAGTCTGTGGCAAAATTTCACACACACGCGTTGTTCTTCAAACTCTTTCTTCGCCTATTTGGCAATAATCCGACGAACAGCTTATGCACGTGCTCCCTTCAACGGCTGTAGCTTGCCAACTAACAGTCAGAGCAAAATGCGGCAAATGGCAGTTTGTCGTCTAAACGAGCCTGCACATGCGCTCAGCAGCCGCACCGCGCTCTCCATCTGCCGGTTGGCGCGCTATTTCAAAAGTTCGGTTTCTTTTTGAACACCCCTCGTACCGCAACGTGCAAGCTTTGTTGCAGATCGGTAAAGAGGCAGCATTAACCCAAACACTGGACACCCTATTGTTCACTCTCTGTGCTCACCATACAGTGGTAATATAATGGAATGATACAGCTACGATTGCCGATGAAACCAGCGTGCGCATTATTCTGAGCTCCCGGGTTTCAGCTTCTCTAGCAGATTGAATCCTAGCGAATAGCCGTATGTGTGCCTTCAGACTTGCTGGCTACTGCAAAGCTTGGAACTCGCACGTGACTGTTTGTTATTGTTGCCTATGCCCCCACAAACTGTCACTGACTTGGTGAAAGATGACTGCTGTCACCAACTAAACGAGCTCATTCGTCACAGAAGAAACATAGATACTGCGCTGCTAGCTGGTGATCTGAATGCTCAAGTTATACTAGTGTCCACTGATGGGTTTCATCTGGGCGACTATCACGTTGTAGACTGCCGTAATGATAACTGAGCGCTTGTTACACCTATGTGAGGACACTCATCAATTTATTCACGAGCACTAACTTCCGACATGGCGTCCACCAGCCATGGACGCGAAGCGAATACTTCGCGATCAATTAACGCTTTAGGGATTGCTTCAAAAACTGCTTGTCGATCTGGAACCCAAGAGTGAGCTTATCACACATTTTCATTTGCTGATCTGCGAGTGCGTCTCGGCGGACTTCCGAGACGACATTTTGGCCGTATAGACACTTTCTAACTTGCGAAGCCAGGTGTTCTGAAGGTAAATTAAGGCACGCTGTAATCTGTTGATGACGATTATTTTCGTACCTTGAGGTCTTGCTTTGGTCAATGAGCCGCACAATTTGGTTGCATACGTTCCGTTCTTCAAATTTGCCTGGTGTTTTGCTGTTGAAAATATATTTACCACTACACATTTAAGATGTCACTTCGACTGGTGGCTGAACCTATGCAACCAAATTGCTCATCTCGGTGAACAAATCAACAATTGCGAACCGGAACTGCTGTTATTTCGCGTTATTATTCGGCGCCTTGTTTATTGCAGAGAAACAGAAAGTAAGCCGCTCATCACCATTTTTTCACGTACCATACTCCGACGGTTGTGCCATGCGGTACGCACGCCACTACACTGACGGGCATCGTTTCCGCGACCGGGATGTGGATGGAAAGCAATCCAACCAGCTAGCCGGTGTCTAGGGAAATGAGGGTTCTCACTTCGAACTATGCGTCGGTTGGTACCTACGGACTCACTGTTTTTTTCTGGGACGCTGAACACGTTGTTAACTTGAGAGTGGGCTCGGTGTCGTTTGTGTTACGCCTTTTACGCCCCCGCCTCTAACTTAATTAGTTTCAATCACGATCTCATTCTTGATGCACAATATTTAATTTTTACGACTGTTTTCTTGAATAAGTTGCGAATAATAGTTGAGGTGGTTTTCAGGATCTTGTTGCTTCACAGGCATTCATACTTTCCGTATCGGTCAGACTCCTTGATATACGTCGGCTGGTTCGGACTTTGATAAACAGAACATCATCCTCCAGCGGTATGTATTTTGTATGCAGCCGTTGGAATACATGCTCGGGGTGTTTAAGCCACGTACCCTGACGTTGTCGTAAGCTTCCGGATAGACGAACCGCCTCATCAGCAGTTGAGGCTGCGCATCATGGAATTGACTTTTTAGGGAACCACTTTCTTGTCCACTCGAGAGCAGGTTACCACTACGAATTTCCACCGTAGATTGCTAATTGCAAGCCAGCTACATGAACTAGCTTAGCATTTAATTTTATCTCCTTTAGCGAGGAGGATCTCAACCTTGAAAGACGGAATCTGCGATCCCCCACTGTCTTCCCCGGAATGTGCATTGACTAAAGTCGTGTCGTGTTGATGTCAAAACTTGCGTCAGAGTGCTTCACGAACCATTCGGTCTACCCACTTTATCGTGTCCTGACTAGTGTTGCCAGCGGTCAACTTGAATACCACTTCCGGTATTGCATGGTGGATCATCAAGTCCAACTGCTAATGTAGTTTTAACGACACAGCCATAATCTCTGCCAGCACCTTGTCGAACTTTGAGGTACCCTTCACGTTGCATCTGTTTTTACAATTGAATTCCAAGCGAGGATGCGGATCCCAAGGCGGAGAACCAGATGTGTGGATTGCATTGCTTTTCCTGAATGTTATGGCACTTCACCTAACTGTGTTTAGCTTCGTACCCACTGTTCCAATGTATTTCGTATGTCTACTTTATCATTCGTAAGCATTACCAAGTTGTCAACATAAAATAATGCTCAAACACCTCCACATTTGGAGCCTAATGCTTCTTTAAGCCGAGCGCAGCCCTTAGCCCCATCCATTACCGTGATGATGAGCGAATGTGAACACGGACTTTTTTTTCACACCACGTCGATGACTCTTCTTTGGCCTTTCCAAAAGAAGAGTCTTAGCATATAGCATAGTGAGATCACGGTCTGAC